TGGAGTCCTTATAAAATTCGATTTTACCCTAATTTATCTTATAAATATGGAGTCGTGATTAGTCTTTATTATTATCGTTAGAGAGAGAGTAGGGAAAATAGGAGTGCAATTTTCTCTTATAAACTTTTTTTCATTATAGTGAATTAATGCAGCGGTGGGAGATGATGTGGTCTCACATTGAGGTAAACCTCTAAAATTTTGCGCGTTCTTGAGTGTTTATTTTTCTTTCTTTGAATTGGCTGCTCTCGGTAGAATAGAATTAGAGTTTATAATTCTCAACATCGTCTTCTAAATCTAACTTACCCTCAAATCACTGATCACTCAAAGTCAGCAGCCCGTTCTATTTGTGATCTCGTTGGATTCCTCACTTGTCTTCTTTCTTGATTCTTCCTAATCACCACAAACCCAACTGATTATAAAAAAACAACCAGGTATACGTATCTCGAAAGGAAAAGTTTGTCACTTGTCAAGGACCTTCTTTTTCTTTTTTTTTCTTTTTTTGAAATTTAAGGCTTTAATTTCATTAACTTAAATCATCACAAAATCGAGATGACACAAACAAAGGAATACAACCAGTCCCACTGATCTTAATCTACGTAGTAATAGCAATTAGATAAATTATTTATAGTGCATGAATGGAAATAACGTATATGCATATACAAATTGTTGAAATTGTTGTTCACAATCAATAAAATAGGCTTTGGAATGAAAAAAGGATTTGGAGGCCAAAACTTTGGCCTATATGACCGATAGGCCTTTGTGGCTGGCGATCGCATATAAATGTGCAGGGTTTATATGCCCTACAAGTGATTAATCTACGTGACCACATAGATTTGTTTTATATAGTCACATAGAAATAAAAAATAGCTGTTGAGGCTAATTTTTATTTTTTTTTATTTGCATTCTTGGTGGCCTTTAATGAAAAGCTTGAAATTTTTCTTGGTTTTTTGGCACTATTTCGTGGGTGTTGATTGAAATCTATAAATACATGATAAATATCACATCATGACATAATTCAACAATTTGAGATCAATTCTTCATTCCAAAAGATAGAATTTATATTTTTCCCTTTATATTCAAAATTCTTTCAAATTGTTCTTGAAATTTTGGTAGAAAATACTAAGTGCTCAACTTTTTTTCTATTACAAGACTTGATTAATCCTTCAAACCATTTGCTAATATCCCTTTAAGCATCAAATTCAATATGAGATTAGGTAAATATTGTTTGAGGACAACGATAATCGTATTTAAGCCTTCATCATTATTTCGGTGTTCTTGTTTTTTATTCTTTGTTTCTTCTTCATCCCATTTGTGTGGAAATATCTTTCCAACAATCTCTAACAATATTTTTTGTAATGGAGAACGAATTTACGATGGCGATGATCAAATTGATGAATCGAGATCTTGTCCATCTAGATCGATTTGATGGGACAAATTTCACAAGATGACAAGAAAGTTGAAGTTCCTTCTCACGACGTTGAAGATTTTCTACATTCTTGATCTAGAATTGGCACCACTTGTGAATCTAACGGATGAAGATACCAAAATCGTAAAAATGGAGAGACGAAAGCGTCAAGAGGATGAGCTCATATACCGCACTCATATTCTTAACGGTCTATCTGACCGATTGTACAATCTGTATACAAATACATCATCAGCAAAAGAAATATAGGATGTTTTGGAAAACAAGTGCAAAGCCGAACAAGAAGAAGAAAAAGGTACTGATCAAGGTATTTCGACTTCAAATTCCTTGATAACATTTCCCTCTTTCCCAAGTACATGAGTTACAATTTCTTGTCAACAAGTTCAAGGCAATCAAAATTGAAATCCCAAAACTTTTCCAAGTAGGAGCAATCATTGCGAAACTCTTAGAAACTTGGAAAGGATATTGGAAGAAAATAATGAATAGTTCTGAAGATTATTCTTTGGAACAAGTACAAAAACATCTTCGAATTGAAGAAGAATCAAGGGCAAGAGATAAAAATGACAATTCTTACGAAGGCATTTTAAAGGTCAATGCTGTGGAGAAGACCGAATCTTCAAATAAAGTGATAGAGGAGGTGAATATTTTTCTAGTAATTTTAATTTGTATTGTGAACAACAAGGCATAATTCATGAATGTTTTGTACCTAGGACACCCGAACAAAATGGTTTAACTGGAAGGAAAAAAAGAACTTTAGTTGAGATGATAAACGTTATGTTAACTTATGCTAAGTTTCTATTTAGTTTATAGGTTGAAGTATTTTTGAGTGCATGTTGAATATTAAATAGAATTCCCACGAAATATACAAAGGTTCTTCCTTATGAGTCGTAGAAAGGAAGAAAATCTAACATTGGATACTTCGAAGTGTGGGAGTGTCTTGCGTATTGTAAGAACACGAACTCTAATAAAACCAAGTTAGGTTCAAGAGGCAATAAATGTGCCTTTTGTTGGTTATGTTTGTAATAGCAAATCATATAGATTGTTAAATTTGAAGAACAATGTAATAATTGAAACAAGTGATGTCGTGTTCCTTGATAATTCACTATCTTCGGATAATGAATTAAGGAAAATGGACAATAAGATCTCTAGCTCAAATGGAACACAAAATGAAACATCTTCTAAAGATGTTCATTAATCTAATGAACCACGAAGAAGCAAAAAAACTTGAATTGAGAAGTCTATAGAATCAGATGAAATTGACTCTCAACTTATTTCGTTTTACCTAATAGAAAGAAATTAAAAGAATAGTGTAAGACTTATTTCTTTCGTTCTATAAGTGGAGATCGATCCTAAAACTTACAGAGGAGCTAGGGCTTCTCGTGATAGCATCTTTTGAAAAGATGCAATAAAGTTGAAATGGATTCAATTATGTCAAACAACATATGGGAACTTGTCGATTTACCACTCGAATCCAAATCTATAGGATGTAAATAGGTGTTTAGGAGAAAATACAATGTTTATAGTTCTCTTAATAAATTTAAAGTTAGATTAGTAGCTAAAGGGTATCGACAAAAGGAAAGAATAGATTATTTTGATACATATGCACCGGTAGCTAGAATGACTTCAGTTAGGATTTTATTCGCAATAGTTTCGATACATGATTTATGTTCATCAAATGGATGTCAATACAACATTTTTAAATGGGGATATTGATGAGGAGGTTTATATGGAACAACTCGAAGGGTTTGTTCTACCCAGAAATGAACATAAGGTGTGTAAGTTGGTGAAATCGTTATACGATCTAAAGCAAACACTTAAGAAATGGCATGAAAAATTTGACTTAGCTATTAATTCTTTTGGTTTCATAAATAATAGTGTAGATAAATGTTTATATTCTAAAATGTGTGATAAATATATAATTCTTATTTGCATGTATGTTGATGACATGTTGATTATGAGTAATCACATGAATGAAATTGAAGAAATGAAGAGATTTCTATGTTCCACATTCAAGATGAAAGATTTTGGACAAGTAGATACCATAGGTATCAAAGTTACAAAAACTAATGGGGGTTTCTATTTGAATCAATCACATTATATTGAGAATGTGATTAATAAGTTCAAATATTTGAACATAAAAGAATTTAATATCCCTATTTATCCAAGTTTAAAAATGATAAAGAATATGGAAGAGGATTTGCTCAATTGGAGTATACAAGTGCTATAGGAAATCTTATGTAATTCATAAGTTCAAAGGGTAACAACGAGTCATTTGATATGTGAATAGTTTCAACATTATAAAATCCGCTATAACATTTTCCTAATAATATAATGTTGGTTGTTATTTGAATTAGGGTTGAGTTTTAAACTCTTAAAGAAATTCAGTATCAAAGTA